GTTAGGCGGCGCGGGCGCGGGAGCAGGTGCCCAGCAGCAGGTGCCCGGCAGCAGCCCGCACCGCACCGTACCGCGCAGCGCAGGTAGGAGCGCGGCGGCGGTGCCGAGTGGGGCTGGGGCGGCGCGGAGCGGAGCGGGGGGTACGGGAAGCGAGCGGCTGCAGGCGGGGTAGGGGCCTCCCGCCACCTCCGAGCAGCAACGTCGGGGCGTGCGGCAATCTCCGCAGCCGGCCCCTCCCGCGTTACGGGACGATGCCCTGACCGCACCGTCTCGTTCCGCAGGAGCGGAGGGGCTCGAGCGAGAAGCGAGGTCCCGGCTGTAAGCAAGAAAATTTCCTCGCTCACCGAGCCCTCTTCGAGCAGCGCGGCGCTCCGCTGCCAGGGAGCTCCTGGCGCCGGTCCGGCCCCGCTGCCGCCGCCCCGCGCAGCGCGCCCCGGCGTCCTTCTGGCTGCGCTTCCGGCCCGACGGACCCCGCGCCGCGTCCGTGCCGAGGGGCCGCTGCCAAATCTGGGCCGGAGCAGAAGGGATTCACTGTGAACTATGAGTGCCGCAACATAAGTTTTCTAAATGGCAAATGCGTCCAAAAGTAAACTTGTATTCAGACATTAAAATCAACTGGAGTTGGTAGCATCCTCTCTGGAAGTTAAATATCACTGAAAGCTGGGGCGGTACGGGGGTCGGGTTGCGCGTAGCCGATCCCTCGGGCCCTGCGGGAGCCGGTACCGCGGCGGGGAGGGCACCCGGGAGCCGGGTACTGCTGCGGGATGGGCAGCAGCACTGAGGCGGCTGGGGGCAGTGCAACTGCAGCAAGGAGACGGGGGAAGGAAGACGGACAGAGAGGCGTCGGAGACAGCAGAAAGAAAAACTCCTGAGAAGTGTGAAAAGAAAAGGAGGGGGAGGAGCTACCCACAGGCTGCCAGGAGCCGTCCCGCTGGCAGCTTCTGGTCTCTGCTGTATCGTTGCCGAACTGGGCATCAAGGTCAGAAACAGAAACTTTCTTCAAATCAAATCGTTATTTATAAATATGTCTAAGGGCTAAAGCAAATCAGAATCAGCCACAACAAGAATTTTGCTTCCTTATCAATACTGGTGAAATGGCAGAGGGAAACGCAAACTGAAGGAGCGCAACTTTTTACAAAGTTCTGAGTGCTTAGCTGCGTTCTTCTGACATTATGAAAAATATCTGTATGTTCCTCTTTTAAGGCACTTCCTCTGCACAACAGACTCATTTCTTATGCGCTGCTTTCTGTAGTTCTGATGAGTGTTCTGATGGGTTCCCTCCTCAGCTGGAGTTCGCCCATGATGATTCCGGGGGACTGCTGTGGCAGAAGCAAGGGGGGCTCTGGTTCCCAGCTCCATGGGCTCAGAGGGATGGAAGTAACAGAGAACAAGAACTGCAGGAGCTGGGAAAAGGAACAGATCTGTCGATTTCCTAGAAGCCATGCCCTACAAACAGGAGATGGGCAGACAGGCAGGGGGAAGTGCAAACCTGCCTGTGCTGGACACCATCATTCCTATGGACTATCAGCCTTGCACACTTGACTTGCGCTGTAGCGCCCAGCTTATGCAGCTCTTAATAAAGTAATGCTAGCCATGCAAATGAGATATTACTTCATTTTCATTAAATGTCACATGCTGAGCTAGGCTGTTATGATGGTTTTCTCTGCATTGACAACAGGCTGTTATTTGTACTGGGAACAGAGAAAAGATGCTCAGCAGGAGGATGTATGTACTGATATATAAGAACATGCCTTAATTAGTGATGTGTGGCAAAGAGCTCCAAAGCTAGGAGTGCAGATTTGCAAATCCAGATGTTTACAGAGGGATGAGAATTACACGACTCCATCAAATTACAAATTGCTTTGTTAATCAATGTCACTGAGATACAACAGGACAATTGTTGTTCAGATACAATGGCAACAATATTAATTCGTTGACAAACTATAGTATTTGTTGTTTGGTGTTAGACTGAAACACAGTCTAACACTAAGAGATGGTATTTCTCATGTAGGGCCCTTTTTTTTTTTGTCTTTGTTTTCAAAAACATTTCTGTGGGTAAGGAGAAAATGTGTGAACCATCCACCTTGTGGTAACTAGCCCTGAGCTGGTTATGTGACTGGTTGGCTGGTCTGGCTTACAGATTCAGAATGGATTGTCAGTCTGCAAAACTCCCCTAATGCTTCACCTGGTTGTGAGGAAAAACACAAACTTGGAAGTAATCTGGAGGAAAAAAAATAGTTCAGTGATTCTCATAAATTTCTGATGATCCATTTCAGGACTGGGTACTGTCCTGCTCAGGCAATGAGAAAGCTGCTTGTTTTAGTCCAGAAAAATACGGGAAGACCAAAAAACCTTTTTGTTTGTTTTTTTACCTTACAGAAGGAAGTTAAAAGCTCAGAGGTACTGAATTGATGCCTTTAGAAACTGAAATATAATTTAGCCATAAAGCAGTTTAAACCATGAGCAACAGCAGCATTACCTGCCCTGCATTACATTGTCAGTAAGCCCTAATCCTGTTTTAGGGAAATCACCCTTGGAAACTCAGTCTCACTGGACATTTAACTAGCTTCCCTTATAAAGAAAACCTCTAAGGGGAGAAACTATAAGCTTCTGAAAACAAATACAGAAAAATCTATTAGAAGCCTTTTTTCCTTCAAGAGAACAATTTATCAAGAGTTTAGCTGGCTGTGTATAAAACCACCTTTTCATGGACTACTTGCCTTTTGATTTAATCCTTTTTGAGTTATAAATACAAGGTCTGGCCTGTAACCAGATAACTTATATGAAATGTGGTTTGTTCACAGTTCTGAAAATGCAGTTTGTTCTTTGCTATATTAGTTGAACAGCAAAAAGGCAATTCAGGGATTCATCTTTGCCCTTATAAACTTCAGATACCCCTCTCCCCTAGCATCTGCTGGGATTTTGTACAAAGTCTGAAGATGTATGAAAATGAGATTTAAAGCAAAAGACCTCTTGCTGATCTATACTGTGCACTACTACAACTGTTTGATTTGCAGTTGTAAGAGAGATTTGTATGTATTTATGGTGATTTGCTTATGGTGTCACCTTCAGCTTCCACAGCAAGCAATTAAGGTATCTCAAAGAGCAGGTTGAGTCAGGTGAGAGCACACAGCAGGAACAAATAAGCTGTTGGGGTCCCACCCAGCAGCAGCAATCTGTCAGCCCACTCCCTATGGAATAAGAATGACTGCAGATTTGCTGTATTGTGCTTGCCAGCACAGGTTTTGCACAGCAGAGAAAAGACAGAATGGCACAGGCAGGCCGTTTCAGGTGCCAGTGGGGAACAGCACTGGGCCTAGGGAATTCTCTTGTGATTACTTCTTCTTGTAGGAGAAAACAGGCACAGAGGGTAAAACCCAGCCAGTAATGTGAACAGCTAAGGAGTGCATAAGCTTTCTGAGGTGTGCACCCAAGAATAACTGCCAGGTAGACAGTTGTGTAGATTCATATCCAAACATTCTGTAATTTTATTTGGCCCAATTAAACCAGATTGGTTCCCAAATTTAATCATGCCCTGCTTCCTATAGAAAAATAGTTCTGATTTTCTACTTTCAGATCTTCTGCCCAGAGACTAACAAAATAACATTGGTGTTTTCCCAGAAAATTGATGTATTTTAAAATGTTTGCAAAGATTGTGATAAGATGTTTAAATAAAAATTCACATTTTCCAGTTACAATTTTGGCAAATCTCAATCTCAGAAATGAGAATTTTTTATCTTTACAGGTAGCTGTAAACAGGAGGATAACAGGGAAACTGTTAGATGATCTTAACCAAACTGGGAACTGCAGCAGTAGACAAATATAAAACTGTTGACCTTGAAGGATCATTGGGCTGCATGGACATTGGGTTCTGTACCTTCTGAAGAACAAATTTATTAAGACAGTGCCAGTAATGTCATCTGCTGCTTTTCATTGGATGCCTGCAATACAGTCTTTGATTTCTAATCTCCCATTTATACATTACCTTGGATGAAGTTAAAAGTGAGAAAAATATTAGCTCATTGTAAAAGATACTTACAGAATCACAGAATCGCAGAATTGTAGGGGTTGGAAAATCATTAAACATGCTGGTTTATATAGCCGTAATTGTCCATATACCCATAGTGCTGCCAAGCATTTCTTTCTTTCCTATTTTAAACTAACTTTGGATTTCAGTCTTACCTTGAGAGAGCATCTTCTTCAGAGGCAAATCTCTTTGGTATTTACTGATGCCATGAAAGTTGCTCAGATAGGATATCAGCAGGTTTTCTTTCAGGTGCAAAGAATTCCTAAGCAAGCAAAGATGCAAGTGTCAGGAGCTTGACCTGTTTTTTTTGTCAGACGCTTCTGTCAAAACAAGTGCATTGTTACAAAGAAATAACTCAAATTGAAAATTATTTGCTATTCGAATGGGTAATTGTATTTTAACAGGGCAAAATCCCAACCCAACTTGCCAGAGAACACTCAGCTAAAGCCAGCATGTGTTGGAACGGCATGTGTGCTCACTGTAATTGTAAATGGGGATACTGTGACCATGCTGCCTCTTCTGATTTAAAAGAATTAAAACCAATACTGTCCAAATTTTAACTGAAACTCCTAATAA